CCTCAACATGCATACTTTCTATGAATTATATTCATAAGAAGTTTTATGATACATTAAAAGTTTTGGACTTTGTTTTATCTTTACTTAATTCATCGGAAAAAAATACATAGAAAACAATACATTGCTTGACTAGATAGCAATGTGAGACGGGTAATAGTTTATTTTTCGTTCTAATTTGATTTCATCTTTCTATTTTATTTATTTTATAAAACAAGGCCATGTACTTTTAGCATGATTTGAAACATAAAGAACACTTATTAATAGATCAAAAAAAAGTATATTGCATTTATAATTCAATGATTCAGTAGAAGTAAAATAAATAATTCTCATAATTATTCCATTAGGGTAAAACACAATTTAACATTTGCAGATTATGTGAAGCCTTAATAAATTAATTTTAAATTCTTTCTAATCATGTAATAAAATTTTTTAAATACAATTATACGATTCTAACACACAAGTAATGGCAATAGACGTATCTTTTTTAAAATAATCTAGGAGAAAATGCTCAGTAACATTAAACGCAAAGGAGAAACTATTTGAAACATTTGTTATTATTTCATAAAAATGCAATTTCCTTTTCCTTTTTTTGAGAAATATGAGATAAAGTTTAATTTTTCACACTCAGTTAACAGATACAAAACTTACAGTTTTGTATCTGTTTGCAAATATAAGTTTTAAAATCTTCTTTTAAATGTATATCTTTTAAGATATAGATTAAAATTTAATTTTGCTTACATAGTTTGTAAGATGAATATTAAAATTTAGTTTTGTATACTTATTTCAAAATGGATATTAAAATTTGGTTCTGTATAGAAATGTTGTAAAAAAGGCTTTAACGTTTAATTGATAAATCTATTTTGCAAAATATGGATTTCAAAAATTTAATTTTGAATATGCATTTTGTAAAATAGTCGCTAAAATTTTGTTTTGTACACCTATTTTGTTCCCCTATTATACTTATTATATTAAAATTTAATTCAATAGAACTATTTGCACAATTAACTTTTAAAAGAGAATCACGGACTTTTATTAAATAAAAAATGGTTAAAATTTTAATTAATAGCTATTTTTAAACATTAATAAGTACTTAACTTAAAAACAATTATTATTCTAATTCCTGTAAAATACTTTTAAAAAAAAAAGAAAGTTGGCTGATAGATATAGGATAAAGGATGATGAACTCATTAAGGCGTCCTTGTATGATATAGTGTTCAGAAAAACAAAGAAATCTCACTCTTTCTTACGAGATTGAAAAGAATGATCAATCTTCATCTTTTATTTCTCTCCATTCTACTGCGCCCCTTTTCAAATTCAGGTTTTAGTTTTAAATAAAATAAAACGAGAAGACTCCAGAAAAATAATATAATAGTACCTCTTTTAAAACGCTAAAGGAATTTAAAACTCCAGAGAAAGCAATACGAAAATGAATTGTTTTGATAAAGTACGATGTAAAGATAACGTATAATCGAAGTCGTAATTTTAGGTAATTACGGATTTTGAAAATAGTTTGTAGAAAAAAAAGGTATTAACTTCTTCCGATAACAGTCTTAAACATTAATCTTTCAGTAATTTTTCTGTGAAGAAATACTTTCAGAGAGACTCAGTTCGAGGAATGTCATGGGAAGCAATAAATCATACCCATCTATCATTTATTATATACATATTTTAATTTAAACGTGATTCTCTCTGAGAGCTAATTCTTGTAATCCTCTTTTACGTTTATTTTAACTTAAACTAACTTTCGGTTTAACATCAAATTAAATACAAATATAATACATTTTATTGCTTATTACGTAAACACGCTTAACGTGAAATATCTTTTAATATGACCTCAAATTTTACTGCACTTGATAAAATTTAACTAACTTATAACGCTAATGGAAAATTCAGATAAGTTAGGACACTGATGATACATAGTTCTATATTAATAACTAAAAGTGTAGGTATTTCTTAAAATATCTATTATGCTTTGTTACAAAGTCTATTATAAATCATTGCGACGTTTATTTTAACGTAAACTAACTTTCGGTTTAATATCAAATTAAATACAAATATAATACAATTAATTACTTATGACGTGAACACGCTTAACGTGAAATATCTTTTAATATGAACTCAAATTTTACTTATAACGTTAATAGAAAATTTAGATAAGTAAGAACACTGGTGATGCACAGTTCTATATCAATAACTAAAAGTGTAGATATTTCTGAAAATATATATATATCCAATATGCTTTATTACAAAGTCTATTATTAATCATTTTCAACTGTCTAATGAAAGATATAATTTGATTCATACTGGAGTTCTTGACTTTACCTTCTTTTTAAAAACTAGGAAAAGCTCTTTTGCACTATTAGTATGAAATCTAAGAATTGAGGTTTTCGTTCACCCTTGGGTTTTAACAAAGATAACTTCATATGAAGAAACGTGTTTTGTTTTGTTTTTTCAAACAAATTCTTCTCTCTGAAAATTGGTTCTAGTAATCCCCTTAACATTTTTTTTAACGTAGTCTAATTTTCAGTTCATCATCAAATTAAATACAAATATAATACATTTAATTACTTATGACGTAAACATTTTAACGTGAAATGTCCTTTAATATGAACTCAAATTTCTCTGGTACTCACAAAAATTCAACCTACTTTTAATGTTAATTGAAATTTCAGATAGTTAAAGACACTGGTGATACACAATTCTATATCTATAAATAAAAGTGTTAGTATTTTTAAAAATATATCATGCACTTTGTTACAGAGTTTATTATTCACCATTGTAACTGTCCTATCAAAGGTATAATTTAAATCATTTCGGGGGTCATGACTTTACCTTCTTGTTTAAAAACTAGAAAAAGCCTCTTTACACTTTTACTATAAAATCTAAGTATGGACGTTTTCTTTTCCCCTTGGGTTTTAACAAAGATAACTTCATATGAGGAAACATCTTTATTTTGCAAACAAATCTTATACTCTTTGCTTAATAGGGCTGTCCTGATGCCTTCTCTCTTAAAATTAATTCCAGTAATCCCCACCAATTATTGAGATGAAAGCACTTGGCCTTATTTCAGTTAACAACTTTAAAATATTTATTTTGTTATTATTATTACATATTTCTGCAACTGAAAGACTGAAGAAAGCATAGAGAGTTGCATAATTGAGTTTCATCAACACTGACATATTTAGTTATTTCTTTCAATTATAAGTCAGTTTTAACTTCATAAATTACAATTTGTTATATTTCTTTATAAATGTATCGAAATAATAATATAGAATAATTATGAAAGTATAAAAATAATGATTTAGTATTAGATGATAAATATTAACACTTTTGTATCCACGAAATAAAATGTATATCACTTTGCATATTTGCGAAAGGAATAGGTAATGAAATGGGAACTTGAGTTAAAAACGATTAATGAGCTTTAGGATAGGCTTAACCTTTGACGGTTTCGCAATTTAGCAAATGGGCAAATTTACGAGAACATTTCACCCCTACGCTCCATTTCTCTATTAAATATCACGGGAAAACTGTTTCAGCTTTGTGGAGACGATTTGTTTTTACCCCTTGTATACTTTTCTAGCCTTGGAACTTGGAAGATGGAGAATCCTATGTTTCTCTCTTACGTGAGCGCTGCATCGTAGAAATACAAGAATACCTTGTTTTGTTTATTTATTCTTCTTCAGCGTAATTTCATACGTAGCTTCCATTATACGGATGTTTTAATAAAATATTCTATGTTAAAGTAAATGCATTCGACTAAAGTTTTCAAATTAATTCGAGAGAAAGAAAAAGCTGTGAAAATGATCGGGTTGGTGAAGCTTGACTCGATTGAATTGTATTTCATGAACTTATTGGGGTTTATTAATTGTTTTTACATTAATGTATAATTTTTGTTTTATTTTTCTTATTTATGTATTTTTTTAATTTAAAATTATAATTAATAATTTCTCCTTTGAACAACATTAATTTTATTTAAAAGAAAGTATTATTTGAATTAAGAAACCATACGAAAATAAATACATAAAATTAAAAAAAATGTTTCAAAAAATATTGTAAGAAAACCTCACTGCTGTAATCAATATAATGATTGTTCTATAAGAATATATCGATAACTTTTACTTAGTTGCATAAATTAATATTAGCCATGTGATTTTATAACTATTAAATAATAAAAATTTTAACGCGTTATTCACTTTTATTAAAAGACAAAAAAACACATTCCCTCAACACATAAAAGTGCTACAAGACAATTCAACAAAAGGTAATTTACAAAACTGTCGAATAGAAAGTCTAAGAAAACTGTAACAGAAAGAAACATACGAGTTACAAACATATTGAAAGATTGTAACTTAAGATTATTGAACTCTATAACCTATTTAATAATGAATAATTATTAAAATAAAATTAGTAATTACAAGAAGTTGAGTGACTTTAAGAAAGAATTAAGGAATAATAGTAAGCTAATAATTCAATCAAATTAAAATGATGATTTGCTGCCCCCCACTCAGCTCGGCCTGCCAGCATTTTGCTACTTATTATTACTCTTATAACAGCTTTAAATATCTAGCGAATATAGTGATTAGAACAGACCAAAAAAAATTTTTTTAATCTAATGATTTAGGAGATAGAATCTGTCAAAACGCGAGAGCCCGCTTCTGAAAGAACGCGAAAATGGAATAATAGAAAGAAAGTTTTTCACTGAAATCATAAATTACGAATTGAACTCATGTAAATGAATTTTTAAAATAAGTTTTGGTTAACATAATAAGATCCGTTTAAAAAAATTTATTGTGAGGTATAGTTTAAAAATGTCTTTTTCAAGTTTTGTTTTCTTATCTTAGCTTTATATTTCGATGAAAGTGAAAAAGAGAAACCATTCCTACATCCCGTATTTAACAGCATTTCTGTGTCTTGTTTAACCGGCTATCACTTGTCAAAATTCATAGATAAGAAGCTTAATTTTTGTCTCAGCGATGACATTTATATTTGTTTTCCAGGACCAGTTTCGACAGCAGTGAAGAATATTTTATGATTCCAATAACAGTCACTCACAGAAGATGCAGCAAAGCGAGAAATGAAAATTTGACTGACTCGTTTAAAATTAGAATGACTTGACTGGAAATTAACTTTTTGGAAGATTTTAACGTTTTGAAGCTTTCTATTTATTTGCTATTTATTTAGTCATTTTTTTCTGAAACTGTAGAAAAAATATAACGAATTTAATTTTTTTTTTTGATAAAAATGTTGTGAATTATTGCTAGAAAAAGAAGATACATTTTATACTATATGTGAAGTTTTCGTTAATTAGATCACATTTCAAAATATATATAGATCAAAATGAGCTTAAAGTGATGTATACAGTTTATTACACTTAGTCTAAATACAATCCTAATTTTCAATCTTTCTCAAGCAATAATGATAATCAAACGACAACAAGCATAAACATAAAAAACCTTTTAACTCTAAGAGATAAGGGTAACAATGGCCATATCGCCAACAGCGAATGGCTCTGCCAACAGGCCAATGACATTAGCTCCTCCGTCTATGGGAAGGCCTAGAAAATATAGTTTACCAGTTATCTATCCGAGACCATCTTTGTCAGTTTATGCTGCAGCTGAAAACACGAAAGAATCTATGTCTCGTCGGAGGAAATTTAGTCAAGTCGGACAAGTCGTTGGTCACAGACTGTCCACAACCATTGGATGGCGGAGTCCCATATCACAACATGATGTCGTGAATCAAGCCAAAAGTCTTTGTGGTCGATATCTTCGCACCAAACTTCGTTCCTGTTCGGCTGTCCACAAGAAATTAGGTCTACAGAGGCTGAAAAGCGTCAGTAACCTTGCTTGTGGATCCAACACGGCAGAAATAGCTAATGAGCTTCGGTAAGTATAGTTCTTATTTCAACGAAGATATTAACCCTTTAGGGGTCATATTAAGTTAACACATAGTTATCTAACTGGTCGGGATTATTTTTTGTTGGAAGAACATAATATGCAGAAAATGAAGTACAACATTCGCTCACAACTTGTAAAATAGTATTTTGAATATTATTTACCCGCAAAGCATGACGAGAAAACAGTTGACAACTTAACAATTAGTTATCGATTTCCAGTTCAAAACAAAGCATATCAACTAAAGGTAGGGGAGAGTAGGGTCAATTGTAACAGGGTACGATTGTAACAGAGCCAAAATTTCGAGTGCTGGGTTCTAGATTTGGTTTCCTAGGTGGCGCACAAGGTGTATTTAATAAATCTTCATGTACACCCCTGCTGGCAACCATTTTTATGTACTTTTGAAAGAGTTACATCACAAAAGATATTTTCACGCTACGTAAGTACTTTTTTTGGTATTAGAAAAAATTATAGTAACAAAGTAATTTTGTTAAGACAAATAAAAATTATTAACCGAATAAGTAAGTGGACACCTTAATTAACATTTCAAAATAAAAGATTAGTTTTGTTAAATTAACTAGCATTGTTTTTAACAAATGAAGCTGAAATGGCGTCTTGGGGACGATTGTAACAATAAGTAAAGGGACGATTGTCACAGCTGAAAATAAATAATCTTATGTTTACAAACCATTACTTAACTCTTTAAGAACCACCAATAGTTTCCTATATCATTTATATTATGTTGCATGTGCATTATTTTATTTGTCACCTTTCACAGCATAAATTAAAATTTTTAACCCCTTAAAGTTAAAAGTTTAACCCTTTAGGTCTCTGCTCATTATTATTTTTACTCCTAAAATATCACTACTATTTTGATCAATAAAAAAATATATCACAACTATGATAATATGTATAATTAACTATGTTTTAGTTGAATTTATGAACTGTTACAATTGACCCCGTAAGTGGGGACAATTGTAACAAGTGCACGACTGTCAAAAATTGTTAATAACTAATATAATAACATTTAAAATAAGGTATTTATTTATTTTTTCTAGTAGAGGATAGTCTACTTTACTCATTTGTTAATTAATACTAATAATATATTGGATTTTTTGTTAGTTAAAAGAAGTTAAGTAAAAAATTTTACAATTGACCCCACTCTCCCCTATTGTTCAATATTTTAAGATCAGAATAAATTTTTGCTATGGTGATTGAGAACAAACATACTATGAAGATCATAAGTTTTGATTGTTGAGCTGAGGGAAGACATACAATCGCAAAGGGTTAATACATAAACTAATTGCGTGAACACGATTTTTATCATCAGATGTTATGCCAAAGCTTGTAAGAACTTGTAGTATTTTCTTAATAAATTATTGGTTTACGGTAATGCAATGAAAATTTATATTTAATATTTAAAGTAAAGTAAGGAATTTTAAGAAATAAGAAAATAATGTATAGAATTTAAGAGATTACTTGAATGCATTTTTGCGCAGAGTATTGTATCAAAAAATTTTCACGGCAATAATATTCTTACTTAAGATATTATGTTCTAATTGTATACAAGTATATGTACGTTAAAAGTCTTTAAAATCTGTGTATTCTATAAAATATATTACTTACTACCGGGGTTTATTTTGGTATACAATTAACTGATGAATAGCAAGGAAAATTAATGCTATTATCACGTGTAAGCTTAAAATCTTAGGTGTCTCCTTTAATAATAAAAATTATATTTTCAATTAGCACGTGAAAATCCAATCAATAACTCGAAAATTGTATAAATAAGTATTATGAATTTGTTTAGAAAATCGAGAAACAAGACAAAATCATGCAATGAAATAAACGCTTTCAATATAGGTATATAGTTTTCAGACATTTATAAAAGGTACTTTTAGAATCTAAATGAATATATATTTTTATATCCTTCAATTTCATTTCTTTTTTTTTTTAAGGTTTTTCAATCTGCGAATAATACTGCAACTTAATTTTTAATCAAAAACAAATTCCCCAGGAACCTGAAAACAGTTCATAATTTTATTAAAAAAGAAATAGTAAATTGAACTCAAAAACTAAACCAATTCCTTCATCCTTTGTTTTTGCAAAAGCTAGGAAAATTAATTAAAATTTTAATAATTAAGTACTTCCAGTATCCAAAGAGTTGACAAGTCTCGCCCAAATGTCATACAAAATTAAGAAAACCTATTTTAGCTCGAAGCTACAAACCATCCAAAAAATTTGATGGTGAAAAAGACTCGTTTTCAGACGAATAATTCTTAATATATATATATATAAATTTACTTCGTATTTTTGGTATTACTACGGAATAACTAATTTGTGAAATCATTTATAAATTTTGAAAAATTAAAGTTTCTGGCATTAAAAAAAACTGTGAAAATTATTTTCTTCTTTTTTTGCTGGAAATTTTAGAGTTAAAATTCAGAAAACTCTTTTTACTAAAAAAGATATTTTTGATTGTAAGTTAAGACAAAACAATTCAAATTTATAATATTATGAGTGATTATTTAATAATTTATTATAAAAAATTTAAATTTCAAATCCGAGGAAATTATGCTTGAACTTTTTATTGGATATCCATCAAAAATTCGTATTCATTACTAAGAGTGACAGATGTTTTCAAAAATTGAATAAATAAATATTTCCTTATATTCCAAGTAACTGCCCGAAAATTTCAGCCATTTTTTTCTAATTTGATATGATAATAAATTATTGTAACTCTCTCCGTGGTTTGGTTTGTCGAAGGCAGAGTCACGAAAAGAGTCAGTTCTAGAGGCAGAGTCACGAAAAAGACAAGCATTTATGAAACTACTAAATGCAAATTAAAGTTAATTGGTCTTAAATGACTACTCAAATCGTTTGAAATAAACGTTTCAATCCTCACCTCAGAGTAGGTGTTATATCACCACAATGATGTTATATCAGTCTGCACATTATGTATGTCATAAACTCTAATTTCGTTTTATAACCATCGTTGAACAGCCGATCCAATTTTTGGGTTTACGACTATTAATGTTCAACTCCGTAGCATTATAATTCTGAACTCAATCCCGAAGACAAGGAAACTCCTGGATCAAGTATTAGAAGAAATTTGCCGAATTCGTGAATGACTTTTCGATGGAACTAACCCGGATTTGCGTTACATGGAGAGGAAGACCACGAGAACCTCCCACGGTTAGTCTGACGGCAATGGGACTCTAACCCATGATTCGTCTACCACTGAAGATATTTCACGTCAACACTGTGGTCGGTAAAAGCCGGATGCGGAATTCGTATCGACCAGTCATTGTCGGAATCGAAACCGGTTAACCTCATTGGAAGGCGTACGCTCTATCCCCTGAGCCATCGCGGCTCTCGTAAGCTATAACTAAAAAATCTTGATTTTCACAAATGTCGATGGTACTTTGCAATGTGGCTGGTTAATTGAAAAGCAATTTGCGGTATTTTCTTATACGCCTTATATGTTTTAGCCTTATTACAATCATCCTTCAGATTAATTTGGATATGTGTAAACACTTACTCAATCAGACTGAATTCTTTCAGGCGTATTGCCATGAAGCATTAATAAGACTGCTATTTACAATAAGCCTTATTGCTCTAAACTTATTAAAAACAACATAAAATAAACCACGCCAAATGAACTGTGAATAATACATTTTCTAATTAACCTAAACATATGACTCCAATAAGCCTAACAAATGCCTAATTGTTAAGAAAATACTGCATACTTTTCTATTTAGCTTGTTGCTTTAAATTACAATGGCGACTGTTTTCAAAGATCAGGAAAATTCAATAAAATCTACAACATGTATACAAAATATAAAAGCCTATAAAATTCATAATTTTTACTTGATGCTGTCTCTGACACACATTTAAATGACTTAGTTATGATTTATTCTCAAATTTAATAATTACTTCCCAAATACTCTTGATACTCAAATCGTTAAAAATGAAAGTAACAAACTGTAATTTTTGTTCAGATTTCCATTGAAAGTATAGTTAACACTATCATTAAATTTGAAATAAGATGCAATTCATTTTCTTTCAAGCCAAAAGCATTGTTACAAGAGATGGATTCTAGCGCTATTGTCCGGATGAATCAGTTTTTATAATTTTCTCAGTGAGTTGATAAATTTTGACACTATGTATAAGTGAAATGATTGATAATGTAAGTTATATATGACCTTTGAATAGTAACCTCAACATTCCTGCTGAGTAAATTCTTATCAGGTAATTTATGAAAAGTGATTCATGTCTTCGTATACATAAAAAGAAAATGCTTTTCAAGAGAAATATAGCTCCAGTAATTCTCACTGTATTTTTCCTTATCCCTTGAATTTTAGATTTTCTACCACACAGTAAAAAATTCCAAATCAAGTTACGATATAAAGTACGACACTTTGAGTACATTATCTGTAAAATAAATTTTATGGTAAAATTCATTTTTGCCGTAAAATATTATACTGGAATTCTAGCAATAATATTTATTTAATTAGAATGACTTGTGATTTTACCAGTAATTATGACATACCATATTTTTTACCTTAGGTTGATCTGGAATTTTTTACAGTGCATAAGGTATTTAAATAGAGACGCTAGCATCTTCAAGGAAGAAGAATAACACTTTGTAAAAAATCCGTGCAACATTATTACTTACTTTTTTTTTCTCTTTCCTCCAAGCCCTGAGCATGATTATTACTTAATTTTTTTTTCTTTTCTTCCAGACGTGGACACGTACCTAGGTTTGCAAAACCCTTAACCGTATAGTCCACGTCTGGCCACCGGTCTAGCTTGCACAATACACAATACATATGCAAACAATCACATTATACACCACTGCGCATCACAACCACAAAGCGCAATTGCATAATACATAGGAATAACAAAATTTTGAAGAAAGTTACAATAGATGGATTATTACTTACTATACTCCATTAGTGTAACAAAGTGATAGTTTTGATAATCAAATATTTGAGTGCAGTTTGCAAAAATGACATAGAAAGCACGAAATGCCACCAGACGCAGATTGACAAGTAGATACTGTAGATAATCTGTAATAAGTCTTTTGATTAGTACAAATGTTCTGTGGGTATTTGCCAAACCTCTTTAAAGAAATAATGCTCACTTGTTAAATTACTATCGTTTATTAAATTACGAATAATTTTATTTTATTTTGCATCACAACATGTGGTATCAATCGTAGTGAAATAAGAAGTTTAAGCTGAAAAATTATGAATAAAAGACACGATTTCTTTTCATAAAATAAATAGATTTTTTTAATGTTTACGATGCACAATAGTAAAATTTACGGCAAAACCGGATCTGCTACTGTATTGTATTAGAATGTATGCTGAAGTATAATCGAGGCGATTACAATCGCGCTACAATAAAACTTAGACATGAAAATTAATTTAAAAAATGTGTACTCGTTTTTTTAAAATTTAAGTGACAGGTTCATTTTTAATTATTTACAAAAGTGATCGTAACAATTTAAGTGCTAAAGTTGTCTGCAGGAAGGGTCCTCATTCGTCATTAGTGGCTACAGACATAAATTCCTCTGCAACAACGTCTACATTTTTTAGCACTTTTTGCTTAAGGATTGTCATTGTCATTGTATTATAATGTAAATACTATCCCTTCCTGTACAAACACTATCAAAACGTAATGCGTATTTATTTTTATTTTTCAAATTAATTAGCATCGTCTAATTTTACTATATTCCTGAGGCCCCGAAAGTACTCTTCTGATCTTTGTGCCCACATTTTCCATTTTGTTATTACATCAGACTTAGTTTCAAACACCTTTTTATTTATTTTTTTTAACTTGAGTACGTAGTCTCCTTTGAGTTTAGAGCAGTATAGCAATTTTTGGCTTTTGTGTTGTTTGACTTGAAGTCAAATTGATATTACTATCACCAACCAGAAATATCAAAAATTACATTATTTGATCTTGATTTCTTGTGATTGAGTAAGTCGTTTGTCAGAGATGTTATTTTAGAATAGAAAATTACTGGTGATTGGTTTTAAATTCTTCTTTAAGTTTCCCATTGGAAAACAGTCGTCCAAAGAAGAAATGATTTTAATTATCCGATGTATTAAAAATAGTCAAATTATGTCAAAACGAAGAAATACAAGTTAAAATTAAAAATAAATTCTTAGTATACTATGTATATGCTTTGATTTCTAGGGCATAATGACAACTGCAGCATGTATTCTTAGTAAAATAGTGATACCGCTATTACATAACAAAGAAATTTCTAAATAAAATTTTGATAATATAGGTTTTGATTTGAAAGAAAAGGAATGTGTTACCCGGTACAATAAGTACTAATTATAATTGATAAAGGATATTATTTAGTTATTGTCAATATGATTCAGTAAGTAAATAAATCTTTAATATAAAAAGAATGTATCAATTACGTTTCTTACTGTTATAACTTATAGCCCACCATTATATAATAAAAAAATAACTTATGAAATTTCTTTCAAACTGGTTCTTATTAACATTATCGAACGTAAATTAAACTAAAATTTAAAGAGAATAAATCAGTCATTTTCAGAATTACTCTGCATTTTTTAGCAAACACTACTAAAATGGTATAAACAAAATTAATATAGTTGTGTAATATATAACGATGTCTAATATAGCGAAGATGCATCTTTAATATAATGAACGTAATTAAAACACTTGTCCCATAACGCTCATTAGTGAATAAATGAGAATAATTATTTTTTTATTACATATCCGTCGTTGAAAAGCCGACCAAATTTTTTGGGTTTATGACTACTAATGTTCAACTCCATAGCCTTGTAATTTTGAACCTAATCCAGAAGACAAGGGAACTCCTGGATCAAGTATTGGGAGAAATTTGCCTTTGCGGAGGATTCTTTTTTGGAACTATCCCACATTTGGGATAGATGGTGAGGAAAATCGCGAAAAACTCCCATGGCTAGCCTGACGGCAATGGGGCCCTAACCCATGACCGTCTACCACTGAGTATATTTTATGTCAGCACTGTGGTAGGTGCAAGCCGGATGCGGAATTCGTATCGACCAGCCATCGCTGGGATTCGAATCCGGTTCAAGTCATTGGAAGGCAAAACGCTCTTTCCCTTTTCCTAATAATTATAATAAAGGGCATGAAATTATAATAATGAGAGTGAATAAAGACTCAAATAATCCAGCTAAATGGTCATCCAATTGAAGATTAAGCGAGCTGAAATTTAATTAGTATTATTTTCAATGTTATTTTCAGTTTATTCTTCACTCATAATATTAATTAGTATTATTTTTGTTTCAACTGGTTAAAGAATACTAAATATTTATTGAAAAATTCAGAAGAAAAATGATTTTCAAACGCATTTAAAATGAATCAAGTCATTAAAACTTAAATATTTTTATATTTAAGGAAAAATGAGGAATATTATTACATTAAAAATATTAAACTTTTAACCATATTGTTTATTTATACCTCGACCCGCCCTATTCAGGGCACACGAGAGTAGAACAAACATTCTACAGACAAAACATACATGAAACACATAAAACACAAAAAATTACATTAGCAGCAAGTATAAATGGCATATAAAGAATAAATTAAAATATGAAAATATTTACACTATAAAATACAAAGGCATAGTGAAATGCCTTAGAGTAGTTTTCATTTACATTTAGAATAGATTTAGATTTTTATAGATGAACAGGGTATTCCGTAATCACCGTATTTAATATATATTTTTAAAATCCTTATCAATAAAGTAGTCTAATAAGTGGTTAATATTTAAAGGGGTTCCTAATAAAACGTGAATATTTTTTTAAATATGAGTAAAATAAGTGCACTAGTGACTGCCTAAACTTCTTCCTGTTTTATTTGCTCCTCCACTAAATATTTTCAGAAAATAAGCTTATTCTGAATTATTTTTAAAACACTTAATTTACGACTTGAAATATTTTTTTTTCTTATTTTCATTTCTCTTTCAGTTTGCTGGCGAACGAGCTCGAAAACTCTCATCCAAAGCTATTCCAAAGCGTTGCTTCTAATCTCGGTCTACATAACATGCCATCAGAAGCTGTCGTCCACAGCGTTTTCGCATCAGTTGCTGAAGAAATCTTTCGAAATGGTGTGACGTGGGGAAGGATCGTAGCACTTTTTGCTATGACAGGAGCACTTGCCATGGACTGTGTAAAGGCAGGTCATCCGGAATATGTTTTAGGATTGGTGCAACGGATGGGAATCTTCGTCGAAAGAGATTTAGCACCATGGATATGCCAGCAAGGTGGATGGGTAAGTCAAATGATAAATTGTGTATACATTTTATATATTCTACTGATATAGTAAGGTTACAAGGTTTAAACAAAAGTAATTTTACTAATAACACTGGAGAAAAAAAAATTTTGTTGTATTTAACAAATGCATGATCTTGCCTGATTTGGGTGTGGTGATTTTAAATATTTAATTAGTTTTGCTTCTGGAGCTACAGATTTTTTTTAAATGACATTTTTAATCTATTTTTTGTCAGTATTCACAAGTTTAAAAACGATATATATTAAAGGGAGTCACGTAAATGTTGCATCATACTTTTAGGGTGATTAGGACACGTTGTTAGGGTTAAAATTGCATAGGAATCCATGCCCGGAAATTTCATCGTATACAGCTAGGGACACGTCCCTATTACGACCTGTTCAAAAGCACACGAAGAAACTATTCGCAATAAGGAAGAACCCCAAGTGCCGTATGACGAAACTTCCGGACATGGGTTCCTATGCAATTTTAATCCTGAAAATGTGCATTAATTCCCCTAAAAGTTTGCCGCACAATGTGACCTTCGGTTATACATAGCTTTTTAAAATTTGCACATTTCGGCAAAAATATTATTAATAAAAACTATAACTTGGAGAGAGAAATCAATTGCAGATCAGAAATTAGTGACACGAAAGTATCTTAGGATCTATTAAAAAATCTCAGACAACAGAAAACAAAAAGGAATTCCCGATTCTAAAACTTCTGTCATTTACTAGTTCATGATCAAAAAATCTTCATTAACTTCTTACTCTAAATCAAAAAGTCAATAGAATACAAATCATAAAACGCAATAAAGCATACTGAGATGAAATGCGCGTTCACACTGCTAATGGATAGGAAAGAAAATCAATGAAAAATAAACAAAACAGCGAGAGTAAGTGTAAGTTCACTTCAACTTTTTTTTCATACTTATTTTTCTACCATTCTATTAGCCACACTACTTCTCGGTTTATTTATTTTTCCTTCTTTTACCCCACATGTTTCGATATCATACATTTTTTCCCTGGTGAAGAGCGCGTAGAGCGTTTATTTTATTTAAATTAATTGTCACTGAAATTAAGGCACTAGCTTTTTTCTCCGCATTATTTGAAGTATTGTTACAGTCATAAGTTTAAAATAATTAACAGGTAAAATTTATTGAATAAATAAATTTTGACCTCTTGCGGGATTTTCAAAATTGCAGGATTGTTATAAGATATCTTTGTTTTGAAGCCCAGGCATCACTAAATGATGAATTGTTTAGAAGATGCAAACCATTTCTTGGTAATAAATACATAAACAAGTATTATTTTTAATCGTTATTTATTATTAAAAATAAGGAATATTATTTTTTAAAATTAGAAATTCTGAAAAAAAAATTATTAAGGATGGAAGACAATCTGTCAATGAAGGCAAAATTTAAGTCCCATTTTATATGAAAATATATACAGCAAAAATATTTTAATATTCTTATCCAAATGTTATCAGAATATTAATTATAGGAACAATATCTATAAAAATGAAAAAACAATAAAGTCAAAACTAATTAGATATATTATTATTGAAAAGCTTAAAAATTAGATAATGGTTCTACGAGGCTCAAATAAATGTTATTTGTTTAATAACTTATTTGAGTATCAGAATCTTCTCATTTCCTTCTGAATCCATATTTACTTCCTAGAACTTTCCTCTCAGGAAATTCAGTATTAAAATGGTATCGGGTTTCAACATTTTAAAGTAAAGTGATGGAAATCGATGCATTTTTAAATAGTTTCGAAACTCGAAAACATGGATATCGCCTTTAAAAATGTTGAATAATAAACATTCGATAGGTTCTTTCTATAATCTTTTACTTTATATTCGATAGGTCGTATACTTGAAATCGATTTAAAGCTAGTTTGTACATTGAACTAATTTTTAAAATTATACTGAATTTATGATTTAAGAAAATTATTATGTTTTGGTGAATATTTTCTTTGTTTTAAAAGCCACAGGTTTTTGAAAAAAAAGCAATTAAAAACTGAGAGAAAAAAGAAATTGTATTTATTTCGCTAGCATTTCTCCGACTTTCTTAATTTATTAAAAAAATTCAATCCTTATAGTATTTGGAAATTTTAGCAACTTAAAAAAATATATGAAAGCCAATTTAAATAGTGACTAAACTCTCAACTTATTAAAATTGTAATCGGCCTCACTTTCACGTTTATACAAGCGAGCATCTTATTTTAAAAGTAGTAGGTCTGCGTCCTATTTCTGATTCTAAACAGAGGGCACCACAATCAGAAAAGATAAGAAAAACAATACAATCATTACACTTTAAGTATCTGTATCAAAATGAGCAAAGGTGGAAATTGAACAGTTTACGGTTGGACTGTTATTCAAATAAAGAAATCATATAAAAATTTTAAACGCAAAAACATCAAGATCAAAATTCCCACTTCACGTCTTCGTAAAATTTATTTGCATTCCTTTGTGATTCAAATAAACTACGCAGTTTGCAAAAGAACTTATGTGGACTTTTAAGTTTCTTTCTGACGAAAGATTTTAGAGGAAAGAAGCTAGGATTTTAAAAACACTTTTATTTGCCTATTTAAGTTTCTGGATAAACGGTTGTCAATATAGAAAAATTATTCATTCTGCCATGTTGTTAATAAATGAGATTTTGCGGAATTAATCGAATTAATTTTAAGCAATAAGCTAAATGAATTTCTATTATACATCAATCTCAATCCCAGAAATATTTTAACATAACATTATTAAAAAAGAGGGCCCAATAAAAAGTCAAACAACACTTTGATTCTGGAATAATAAAGAACTTCATTTTATTTTATCTTAACATTTTTTATATTAGTTTGCTTTCCGTTGCAGTAGAAATCAGTTCTTCCACATTTCCATCGAAAGTAAAACATCACTCAGAATAAATTTCCCCAGAGATTCCAAACTACTCTCTGGATTCCAAAATAATAGCCAAACGATGGATAGTATTTACTTATTTATTTTACCACAGGTATCTTTTTTTCGTAGATGTAAAATCATTAGAGAAAAACTGAAATGAAATAAAATTTTAACACTTTTGAATCGAATAGGTTTAGGATAAATTACTTTTGTTTGTGGATACAATATTTCTTTCAATAAACTCGTTTAAGATTATTCTTACAATTGTCTGTTCCGGATGTTTTAGTGATAATAAGGTGATAACAAAAGAATAGTGTAGCTTTAATCTTTGTAATATAATTTTCAAAAAGCTCATGTCGTCAAGATAATCATCATTAATTTATTTTTTGCACCATAATGTCAGATGGATAATGCTGATTATTAAAAATAATTTACAAAAGTAAAATAATATTTTATTATTTAACTTGTTTCATAAATTTCCCTTACTTTTTTTTGTAACTGGAGTATTTTTATAAAATATATATAACTAAGATAACTCCTTTTAAAATAAGTTTGCTTAGTTGACACATTTTTCCTTAGTCAATCATTACTAGCGTTTAAAACTTTTCTAATTATTTGTAACGCTATTTTCTGAAAAAGGTTTTTTTTTCTAATTAATTTTGAGAAAAAAAAATTTCAAATGAACTTAAGACTTCCTATGCAATTAAAAATGACTTCTCTACAAAAATATTATGTAATTGTTAAAATTTAGTCAAATTTATATTTAAGGATATTTTGAATCACTCTAAATATTTTGCAAATAGCAGTATAAAAATGATTTGACAATATGTACTCGTAGTTACTACCCAAGATAAATTAATATGAATGTATTTAAAGAAAAAAGCAAAGCAGTTAAATTACTTAAACAACTTACTATTATTTGATCTTTTCCTACAAATTTGTCAATTACTATAAATATTTTCCTATGTTTTATTATATTTTTTTTGTCAATAAAACATAAAATGTTTATTATAATATTGTATGGTGCATGCATAAAAACGAGAAAGTGTAATTATACTGTAACTTTAAGCACTTTTCTATTTAAAATGTCTTATAATTTTTTACAAGCATTAAATATTAACATATTCTATAAAACGATAATTACAGTAATTTCCTTTCAAATATTTTTCATAAAATGACAATTACCTTTAAAATATTTTCATTAATCCACCCTTAAATTTTTAAAAAAAAATAATAAATAAAACTTAAAATAAGAAAAAAAGCATAAATGAAATAAATTTTTTCTTTTATTCAGTAAAAAATATTGTTTTCTTTTATTCAGTAGTTGCAGTAGTTCACAAGCATTAAAAAAAGACAATTTAAAAAAGTCAACCAAATTTTGAATTCCAAATAAAGTTTCCAGCGTATTTGAATTTTAAATAAGTAAGTTAACATAGCATCAATTTGATGTTTGAAAAAAAATGATGTGTCGCATTTTTAAGTGTGTTCAGCCCCTTAATATTAAAGCGAAATATTTTACTTTTAAAACAGGATTAGAAAATTGTTCACTAGCATAGTGAATACCGTAACGTTATAACTGGCACCAAGAAAGCTGAGTTATTTAAAACATAAAATTGTCGGAAACGGAATATGACAACATTGTCCCGTAAGTATGTCACTTTAAATTATAAGAATGTTGAGAATGTTCGTTTATATCATCGCTGCTAAGATTTTGAACCTTTAAATTCTTTGTGTATTTCATTTCTCTCTCTCAAATTAATTTTAAAGCACTAAAACAATTTAAAAACTGCGCTTGAAATAGATATGAATCTCTTCATGCTTGAATTATTATTGAGATATATGTTTTCAACTTCATTTCGTTATTTTTTTTAATCTCTTTTAAATATTCGAATAACCAAGACACAAAATTATTGCTTGCTAGAAACATCAGATGATTTTTCACAGAAGGAAAAAGATTAAATTGTTTATATTTAGTAGACGGAGAAAAAATTTTTGGCAAGACTTCTGTACTGAATAATAATTACATTTCTGTTTTTTTTTTTAAAAAGGAAAAATAATAATAATAATTCTGGTTAATGAAACCGAAGTATACGCTATTCAAACTATTC